GCCTCAGCCCTCCTGCAACTACTGCACTTTAGCCTGTAGCAGCTGATTTCACCTATTTATTTAAGATACGATACGGGTCAGCTTCATGGCATATTTTTTACCGTGTATTTAAAGCTTTCCAGGAGCACGTTTTGTATTGCTATTTAACCTAACTCGCTGCCCTGTTTTTGGGGACGGGCTGGTCTGTCAGCTGCTTTCTCCTATTTATTTAAGATACGATACGGGTCAGCTTCATGGCATATTTTTTACCGTGTATTTAAAGCTTTCCAGGAGCACGTTTTGTATTGCTATTTAACCTAACTCGCTGCCCTGTTTTTGGGGACGGGCTGGTCTGTTGGGTTTTTTTTCGAGAGAGGAAAAAGAAATAAAAGTTTGCATCCTTGCTCTGCTCTGCCCTCGCCTGAGCCGGGAGTTGTGCGTGGGCCTGGGGAAGGGCTTATTACCTTGGGCGACGTGGGGTAGGGAGGAAGAAGAGAAGCGCCGGCCCCTGGGAGCTGGAGCAGTCTCTGCTGTTCTCCGTCTGGGAGAGCTGGAGCTCCCGAGAGAGCAGGGGCCCTACGGGGCTGGAAGGGCCGGTTACAAATACAGGGTGCAAACACTGCCACTGGTGAGGTCAGAGAGCTTCAGTTCTTAACAACGGCTCTTTTTTTCCCCCTCCCCAGAGGGAAAAGGCAAACTTCGCAGCCTCAGCAACAAAAAAGAAAACCCCTCTGACCAGCTGGCTCAGTTGGACAAAAACCTCAGCTGTGCCACTTGAGCCAATGTAAACATTAAACTAGATTAAATTATTAGCATTTCAAGAACACTGTAAAGGCGCTGTAGCCCCTACAGTTCAGCTGCTTGAAAGCTATGCTGGAGCTGTTTGTGTGATCAGTAGTAGGCTAAATGGTTTTGGATTAAACAGAACTCTGAACATGAAACTTTGTAGTAGCAGAAGCCCAAGCCCCTGCTATAATTCATCACTTTATGAAGAAATGATATACTAGTATATGCCAGTTTTGAAGGTGAGGCCAATTTTTTCTGCCTACAAGACTGCAGAGCTTTGTAGAGCAATCTGTAGCACTGCACTCAGGAAAGAGCAGCTGAACATCATGAGGCTCTGCTGTTTTGGATGCATTGAAAGAACAGTGAGCAGTGCGGAGCTGGTTGAAGAAACCTAGAAAGGGAATCAAACCTGACGGAACGAGGTTACCAGTTCAAAAATCTTTCAGTATCACCCATCACATACCTGTGCTTGCAAGATCTGAGGCAGCCGAACCACGCTTGAACTGCAAGCCTAAAAGGCTAAGCAGCAGTGTAGGATGGCTGATTAAGACGCACTCTCCAAAGATGGGGCTGTTTCCAAAAAAAAAAAAAAACAAAAAACCCAACACCCCAAACATCCCCCCCAACCAGAAAACCTCCATTGGTCTCCAGTGGGTGCCTAAGGAGCTGTTGCCTTAGGGGTCAGGAAGGCCACCCCAGAAAGTACTTACAGGAGGACACAGAAGATGAGGCGCTTGGTTTCTTGGGGGTGAGGGGTAAATTCAAGTTTACTGACTGTAAGAAACTGAACTAACCTGTTCCACTCCTGCCAACTGAAGTTACAGTAATAGTCGTGAGTTCTTGAGATTCCTACCACCACAATTAGACCACAATCTGCAGAAACAGTAATGTTGCTGTATTTCATCAGAACTCAACAACATTAACTCTGACCCAACATATCAGTAATCACAGAGAAATGTATAGCCTCTTAAAAAAAGCATGTATCTACTCACATTACCTACATGCATTGGCCAAATGCCACATGAAAGTACATGAATACTTTGATCACAAATAGTGCGCCTTCTTATATATTACATTATCCTGCAATGATTAAAAACACTCAACGCAAAAAATACTGGAAAGAGCATATTTAAGTATCAGCATGTAGAAACCATTGCACCTAAGGAATCAGAGTTAAGATTGCAGTGTTGTGATTATTGTAATGTATTCTGTGTTCGTAAGAGTCATGTTTATCATGAAAAACAGGTTCGCAAATTTGCTAAACACCAGCTGACACCATTATTGGTAGTGGTATCTAGGACTGTCTCCCTCCTGCAGTTTGGGATCCCTGCTATCAATAGGGCAAAGTCAGGAAGTCCTGCTCCGGAAAAGCATTCACGTGCACACTTAACTTCCGAGTATGCAAGCAGAGTTTTGACAAAGCCATAAGGGAGTAGAAAGGTCCCTTCAGCAGGCCAGCTAGCTGCTGCTGCAAAAGGTAATCCTTGCTATTTCCTTTGGGCTGGCACTGGAGCCCACCTCACCCGGCAGCGAGCGAGTTCAGTAAGGTACGCAGGCAGCGGACTAGATGCAGAAAGAGGACTGTTTTTTCAGCAGTGCAGCTCCCCAAACTGGGACACTAGTCCCAGTCTTATGAGCACCAGATCACAAGGGCAGGGGTGCAAGCAAACAGCAAGAGGGCTGTTTCTTTTTCCAGAGTTAGCTGCAGATGACCTTAGTTACGTTGTGACACCAAAGTGCTTTGGCACTTCTCTCTGCTTAAATGAGAAATGCAGCGGGAGGAGATGTTTGTCTTCTTTACCAAACAGACGGTAACATCACAAAATAACGGGCAACTATTGCAAGAGGAATTGCAGGGACCACTAAAATATTCTATTAAGTTCCAACAGGTAAATTTCCATGGCTAACTCAGCAAAATTAGTGTTTAATATTATTTCATAATATCCCTTTAAATTTTCCAAATGCCTTTTAAAACCGCTACTCACCTTGTCCTCCAGGCCATAACGCTTCATTTTCTGCAATTAAATTAACTTGTCTTAAAAAATGACCTGAAACCATCTGCAAAAAAGTTTGCATTTTTGTGAAATATATCAACTCTCATAGGTCAATTTATTCAGAGTTACAAATTTCATTGAGAATAAAAGATTTATGCATTTCTTAATTAACAGAACAAGTTTAGCTAAATATAAACTCTGCACTAAAGTTTTGCAGTGGCACAATACCAACACAGAATACAGAAGCATCTTTAAACTATACAAAATTTTAAAATTGAAAATAATCCTGTTTACATATTCTTTATACATTAACATATAAAAGACCTCATTTAATGAGGCATCTAAAGGAATCAAAAACATCTCTACAGCTATCTCTGAAAATTCTGGAAACAATTCATTACACAGAAGCTTTACAAGACTATTTAAACAAACCAATACACACTTTTTACAAGATTAACATTCCAAAATGTACTCAGAGGCAGGTTTCCACTTTTCATTTCTGCAGTTTACCTCACCGGTTATCTTTAATTATAAAAATCTTCATATTTATATATGTTG